AATATTTACACACCGCACTCGTTACTCATTTGAGTCTGAGTCGACCTAGGGGAGGCCCAGGACCGGTTCAGATATTATTTACCGATGTTGACCACGAGCGGGAATCGAACTGTGATCACCGGGTTTGTAGCGCAGTGCGCTACCGCTCCACACACACCAGATACCATGCACACACACACACACACCTCTAATTCCATCACAAATAGCAACCAATGCGTGTGAGATCATGTGGGACAAGTTCTGTGGGCCGAGGCCACGAGGAGGTTCAGCAATGTTTAGTGCACAATAGACAAGGCAATGTGATGGAGGCCTATGTACAGGTAGGTGGCTGTTGGATGATGCACACAGACCCACAGACAGGGGGCATGGGCAGACACAATAAGGGCCACAAGACAGATATATACACGGACACGGATAAACAAAAGACTCCCTCCCCCCGTATACCCACAGAGTGCTGTTGACAAGCACGTGCTTTTTTTTAATTGATTCGACCAAGTGGTGTGGCCAGAAGCACGTCCGGCTGCGTGCGTCTCCAGCAGTGTTGGCGGTGGCCGGGAATTGAACACCGGGCGCACACACAGAGGCCGGGAAGAGCCGTATCAAGTCAGCGGTCGGTGAATCCAGCGGTGGGAGGAGAGAGCTTTGGGGGGGGGGGGGGGGGTGGTGCAGTTGTGTCCGCAGAAATGTTTAGACGGCCGTTGAGCTCCTGATGATAATTGAAAGTCAGAAAGGGGTGGTAATGGTTTCCAGCGGAGTTTTAATTCACCGATGCACAGATTGGCACGCGTGCACCTACAAATGTCGCGGCGGCCCAAGGTCACCTCCGCACGCGGTAAATTTCCCTCATTTCTCGGTTGCAAGTTAAAAAGGTGCAGCCCTGCAAATGTCTCGCTCAAGCCACTGCTGGAGGGGAGCGATGGTGGGTACTTGGCCTGCTCTTCCACACCGATCAGACGTCTTGGAAGAGGTGCCCGTACCCGCACTTTGCCCCAGCCCCTCCACCAACTGGGGCGTTCAGGTCAATGCTGTGGACATAGCGGTAGCTCCCGTCGCTTCTCAGTTACAAATTCCGTGTTTATTGATAGACACGCGTCTGTATGTCCTGCAAACCGGTAACCGGGCTTAACCGGTTTTCTTTCTCGTGCGGTGATCGGTCATGCAAATACACAACACTTGCGACCTCCCTGTTTGTAATGATGTACCGTATGTTCTATAAGTTAGGAAGTTAGGTAAATACATTTCCAACGTAGAACTCTTGGTGGGAAAGTTTCCCTCCTCCAAAAACGGTGATCTGGATGCGGCACTTGATACGCAGGTATAGACACAGAGACACCCAGGTAAACACAGGTAGGTAAACAGGTGAGCACAGAGCTAACCACTGGTAAACACATACACTGTGCACAGACACACGTAGGCAAAAGACAAATAAAAAGATCCCCCCCCGTATAGGCCTAACAAGTGCTGTTAGAGGACACCTGCAATTATCAGGCCAGGATAGCACACGGAGGGGGTGAGGGGGTGGGTGACCAGCACCACGCCCGGCCGCCTTTGCCTCCCCACACACCACACCAGGTACTCATTTGAGGCCGAGTTGGCCAGGTAGGCACACACAGATGAACACAGAGGCACACACGTTCATAGGTAAACAGGTCGAGACTGATAGGCACACACCGGGAACACATGCACAGGTAACACAAGTAGGTGCATACATATAACACAGGTGAGCACGTACACGTAGATATATAGGTAGCAGGTGCACACACAGGTGAACACGTAGACACAGGTAGCAGGCGCACACACAGGTGAACACGTAGACACAGGTAGCAGGCGCACACACAGGTGAACACGTAGACACAGGTGAACACGTACACGTAGACACAGGTAGCAGGCGCACACACAGGTGAACACGTAGACACAGTCAGCAGGCGCACACACAGGTGAACACGTAGACACAGATAGCAGGCGCACACAAAAGTGAACATATAGACACAGGTGAACACGTACACGTAGACACAGGTAGCAGAAGCACACAGGTGAACACGTAGACACAGATAGCAGGCGCACACACAGATGAACACGTAGACAGATAGCAGGCGCGCACACAGGTGAACATGTACACGTAGACACTGGTAGCAGGCGCACACACAGGTGAACACGTACAGAAGGTGAACACGTAGACACAGGTTGCAGGCGCACACACAGGTGAACACGCACACACAGGTGAACACGTAGACACAGATAGCAGGCGCACACACAGGTGAACACGTAGACACAGATAGCAGGCGCACACACAGGTGAACACGTAGACGTAGACACAGGTAGCAGGCGCACACACAGGTGAACACGTACAGACAGGTGAACACGTAGACACAGGTGAACACGTAGACACAGATAGCAGGCGCGCACACAGGTGAACACGTACACGTAGACACAGGTAGCAGGCGCGCACACAGGTGAACACGCACACACAGGTGAACACGTAGACACAGGTAGCAGGCGCACACACAGGTGAACACGTAGACACAGGTAGCAGGCGCACACACAGGTGAACACGCACACACAGGTGAACACGTAGACACAGGTAGCAGGCGCACACACAGGTGAACACGTAGGCACAGGTAGCAGGCGCCCACACAGGTAAACACGTACACGTAGACACAGGTAGCAGGTGCACACACAGGTGAACACGCACACGCACAGGTGAACACGCACACACACGAGGTAGAGGTAGCGGCAGCGGCACCAGCAGCGGCGCTGGGCGCGGGGAGCCCCTTACTGTCGGCGGGCGCGTACAGGGGCATCATGTCGAGCTTGTGCACCTCCTTGCCGTAGTAGCCCTCCTCTTGCGACTCGCGCTCGCACGCCGCCTCCTGCTGCTGCTGCTGCTGGAGCAGCAGGTCCCGCGTGCTGTTGAACAGCGCCAGCACCTGCTGGGGCACCTCGCCCGGCCCGAGCTCCTGCTGGGGCGGGCTGGTGAGCTTCAGCTTGCTCAGGATCTGTCCGCGCACCGCCTCGATGCGCCTCCGCTTCAGCACGTCCATGTCCATGGAGGCGCACGTGGAGGAGGAGGAGGCGCACAGCCCCTGCAGGGCGCAACCCAGCGCCACCACCATCACGGCCAGGACGCGAACCAGCATGGCCCCGGCTGGCAGGGGTGGCGGTGGTGGAGGTAGGAGACGCTCGCTTGGTGCTCGGTGGGATGTGGGGACGTGGAGCGCGGCGCCTTAGGGGCGGCCCCGTGGCCCGTGAAGACGCGCAGAGGGCACGGCGCGGGCTCTAGGCGCAGGGCGCGGGGGCCCTCTCTCCTCCGCGCGGGGTCGCATGGCGGGGGACGCCCCACGCAGAGTCACTCCGGGGGCCGGGGCGGCCAACTCGAGCCGGGGCCGTGGGGAGAGACGGCGACGGGTTGGCGCGCATTCCTCCGTCTCTCAGTCCTTCCTCCTCGTTCTACTCCTTGTACAACCTCCTCCTCCTCCTCCTCGTCACCACTGTCACCCTCGTCCTCCTCGTCACATATCCCTGCTGCTGCCGCTGCAGGCAATGAGCAACGCGTACCGCTGCAGCAGGGATTTATAGCGAGCACAGCCCCACGCCCCCCTGCTGCCTCCTCCTCCTCCTCCACCACCATCGCCCCCTCCTCCACGTGGAGCTGTGATGCGGGGGCGGGAGACCACGACCCGGGGGGGTGTCGCGGTGGAGAGAGGGGGTCCCGAGGTGGAGCAAGGGGTTGATAACACATACCTCTCACTTGCTGTCTGTCGCAATTGGTGTGTGTTTATGGCGCTCAAACAGCGCGAGATAAACAAAGTGTTCTAGTGTTGTTTTCACCGTTGCAAGTCTCTCTTGGAGGATTGATCCGTGTCAAATGTCATTGGAGGAGGTGAGACACATGCTCATTAACTCTACGTGACGAGGGATCAACTTCAAATTCGAGCACTTTATTACTTAGTTGAAAAAAATAAGTCTATTTTCTTAATAAGGCGACCGGCCCGTCGTCTTACTCAAAATGTAAAGCAGTGGAATGGTGCACACCTGTGATCTACCGCTTTGAAAGGAAAACACTGGTGGATCACATACATGTTTGTGAAACTTCCCCAAACCCATGGGGCTAAGGCCAAGGCGATGACAGGCGAGCTTGTGGGTTCGTAAATCTCCTTCGATGAACGTTTTTTTTATTGTTGGCTCATGTGGGGCATATCTCTGGGTACCATATGCTAAATATAAAGAAAAAAAAGCCCGATACAGGATTCCCCTGAAGTCTCAACACTCAATTATGCTTTCCCTACTATAAGCTAATTGACTCAATATTTTTAGAGTTTAAATTGAGATCCTATTTGCAGGTAGTATTACGCTTCAATTAGCTTAGGGGCTTGGAGGCCACGTGTCTATTGTGCATTCGCGGGAGGATCTGGCAGTAGAAATCGTTGGCGAGATGTGACATCCTCGGATTTGGCATTACTTTGATACTGATGATCTCGCTTAAAGGGGCAGGGGGTTGCCACATGCACAACCAATGCAAACAAAATCACTGCGAGAGCAACTTCAACAACCTTCACCTCACTCCCACCATTACCCAGTGAGGTTTACACCACAGTACCACGTGCTCTGAACATAACGCACAGCTGGTCTTGGAAGGCATGAGCCAAGGCTCTGCCATGACTTTTGAAGGTGGTCTCTTTATTAAGGTTCAGCCACTCGCACAGCCGATTCCTGGAGGCCAGGGTTAGGCGCCACTGCATGGGAGGGCCCTGTTATTTCCGTTAGGATGACCCTACACACCCATCCCCATTGTCATAGGTGTTTAGGCAGACAGTGCGAGCATGATGACTAATAGCTGGCGGTTGGGTGGAGTGGCTTATGTCTGTAGGCTCAATGTGCGACCACTAAACACACTGGTGGCGACTGCACTTGCAGGAAGTCACGCCACTAGCCAGGTTACATACACACACACACGAGTACATCGCTGCGCTTCACACCTAGCGATGCAAACACTGTAAACGTTTTTCGCAATGAAAATGTCTCAAAAATGTTTATTTTTTGTTTATATACACAGAACTGGGAAACATGGTAAAACCAAATGAAATGCGAAACGTCGACCGTCAGTATTTCAAAACATGACCGTTAGACACTGTTGCGTAGGTATGAAGTAGATGCAGGAATTGCAGATCTCGCAGTGCCGTACGATGTCAGCAGATGTGGATGCGCGGCTGGTGTTGGGATTTGAGCGCTAGCGTGGGTTGGGGTCCGCGAGCGTGGCCCCGTGCACACTAGTCCGAGTCACTGTCAAGCTCGTCCATCGGTTCCCCGTCTCCTCCACTCGCCGAGCTGACGCTCTCCTTGTCCCAGTCTTTCATTTTGGCTCCCATCATGAAGTCTTCTCGCAGGATGTTCCACGATGGCCCGCTCTGCTCACCCGCCTGATTATGCCACACAAGCACACACACAAGCACTTAGTCCCCACTTTAAACCGTGTGCCTCTGTTGGGGAATTTGCTGTCTTTCAGACCAACAAGAACACAGCAGTGGAAATGCAGGCAAGGTACCTAACATGTCCATGTCCACCTGAAGAAAGCTACAATATCAGATGTGAATGCTCACCCGCGTTCAATTTTATGATGTCACAAAAATGAAACCCCCTCCTACGCCCATAAAACTTAACGGAAGTTTTAACCAAAAAAGTGAAAACATTGCTTGGACATTTTTATTGCTCCACAGATTGCAGTTCTGACAATTTTGTGCAGCTTGCTTAAACGTACGAATGTGTCTGCTGCATTGAACGGTGCCTGCGAAATAAGCGCTCCTAATCGCAGTATAAACCTCTCCTCGTTTTTTTTTTAATGTTTTCTTTGCCTAAAGAGAAAATGAATAGTTTGGTGCCGCCCTTCCTAACGTGGATGCGTTGAATTTCATCGCACACCGCTGCCTCGTCACCAGCCCAGATAAAACCAATATTGATTTGACAGCAGCAACCGCAACGGCCACAGCACCAGCAACCACAGCAGCCGCGAACCAATCCCGCTGGCGAAGGGAACACATTTGCTCAATTAAGTGACGGCGAGGTCGGGTCCATAGGCAGGGCAGGGCACAGCAGCCGCATTGTGCACGGGGGAATGTCGCCTGTGCGACGGGGCCCATGCTCTGCTCGCCCAGGGCAAACACCGGCCCACAGCTTTTCCGGCTGCAGCTGCCGCCTGCCCGCCGGTCGGCCGGCTGGCGCGTTTAGTCAGTGCTGCAACTGCGGGGGTGGTGTGCCCAACGGTCTGGCTCATCCCTGTCTGCAAAAGCACGTGGGCGGCTCCACCAATATTTTCCAGTTAAATTAAAATACCTGAGGACTACCCGTTTCATGTTAAGACTGTAAATGCCAGTGTGGTGACTTGTATGGTTTAGTCTGAAGATATCATTCCATTGAATATTAGAGCTACAGAAGCTCAGTCTCAGTAGTGAGCACATACAAGAGTAAAGGGAGAAAACTTTTGCCACTAAAAATTTGCCCACCATTCGGAAGTGCTGACTGCTAATGCAGCCTCCGCACCATCGCTTTTAAAGGGACTTTCTGACTCCCACCACCCCATGAAATACGCTCGCCACCGATTGGAAGCTCAGGGTGATCGGGGCAGCCCCATGTGTGTACACAGGGCAGCTGCATGTGTGTAAAGGGCAGCCTCCTTTGTGTAGGTGTTTGGGAAGGGAAGCTTCCTGTGTGTGTTATCGAGAGGGCAGCCTCCTGCGTGGGTGTGTGCGCGGAGAGGCAAGTCTTGTGTATGTGTGTGAGGAGGGCAGGCTTGTGTGGGCGGTGCAAGCCCGGGAGGGGGTGCACAGCTCTTGGCAGTCCTCCAGCCGGTAATCACTCCCATCTGCGACCCAGCCACGGCACAGGCGAGCCTTTCAAACTCCGTTTGCACAAATATTTGATCACAGCCCACCGAGATGCCAGCCCAGCTCCTCCAGGGAAACGGGGCCGGGGCTGCTCGGCTCAAAAACCCCTCTGTGTAAAGAAAGCAAAACTCAAATCTTTCCAACTATTTTGTTTCTCTTTCATTCTGCTGATCTCTTGTGGAGAATAATAAAGACATACATGCGTGTCTGCTCACCCCCTTCTGAGTGTAAACACAGCATGCTCTCACAGCCTATTGAAACTTTGCTCTCCTCATTTTTCACACACAAATAGTAATTGATTGTTAGCGCAACAGCCAACATGTTTGGTTTATGTTAACATCAGTTCTGTCAGTGTTTCATTTTCTATTAGACTGCAGAAATATAGCAAAATTCGATTTAGCAAATACATTTACCATATAGCATTATTCCTATTACCGGACATCGTGAGATATTCTAGTAATCCAATTTCTATGGAGGCAAAGGTTCATGGATTGTATTGATTTGTTAAACCCACTAGACTGCAAGGTGGGCAATAGATGGCAGTACAGCAGGTGGGATAGTGAACCAGTCTGTGGAGATCTGTGAATATCATCTTTGCTCGTGTGGATTCTATCCAGGAACTCTGGTAATCTCTTTGTAAAACACTCCTTAAAATTTCACCAAAAGGTCCCAATGCATGGTCTGCCTGAAAAGTGTCTTAACCCAGGAACGCTTTTGAAAAAATATTATAATTTATTACATTAAAGAAATGTAACCAAATTTGGGTTCTAATAATTCCAAACTATTTCTGGAATGAATCGTCGGCTGGATGCATGCATCCACCCACCCACCCAGGGGGACTTTCGACCCAGGCGGAGCCTAAACAGCCAGAATAAGCCGGCAGATACCTCATAAGTGTTGCTCGGCAACCTCAGTGACAAATGTGGTCCCATGTGCGAGTCGCAGCACCGTTCGTAGGCGACCAACCTCACCCCCTTGCACGGTCACCTCCGTCCTCAACTCAAGATTTAAAAATTTGCCGACTTGCACGAGGAGAGAATGTCAAGCCGTGACGTAGGCTTCTCGGAGACGGGTGGAAGAGGTGGTTTTTACCCCATTTCCGGACACGCTGCATTACTTTATGCTGAAATAAAATCAGTCGTGAAATGTTTTTATTGGCTCTCGTTAAGCAAAGTCCGTGGCTTCATGTCTAGTGTGGGCACTGCAGCTGAGGCCAAAGGCAGCCAGCCTCGCAGCTGCTGGTCACCATCAAGAGCCGCGCACCCTCGAGTTGCCTGCACCGTGCCTCCTTGGAAGCCAAATACACTCGAAATGCAAGGAACGCTAAGAAGCACGATGGGTGACGAGCGAGAGCTCGCTGGGTGAGGTGCGGGGCAGCTTCCCTTCCGGCGCCAGCACTCAATGGAAGGAGCAGGCTGGGGGAGGCCCCTGGGTGGGGTTGTCTATAAGAGCCAACCTCTACAACCATAAATCAGAAGCCAGCCACCTACGCTGTCCCCCGCAGCCCTCTTCATCACGGACATGATTACAGCCTATGTCAAGCTCCACAGCCCTGCGGTTGCCTCCGATGAAAGCGCCGGCGGACCGTCAAATCAAACACGGCTTGAGCATCAGACAGAGACGGGCTCACCCAGGGTGACTGTGCAGTGAGCCCCATCCTGGTTTTCAAGAGGTTCTTTAACAGCAGCCCACTCGGGAGGAAACCGTGTAATGTAACTCTACTTGACTTTGTTGTGACATGCGACTTAAAGAATGATTGCCATTAAAAGCGTAAACCACTGAAGACAAACCTCCACTTCCTACGTTGACCACAGTGGTGACAGTATGTTTGCAGTGTTAATCTCAGGCGTTGATTTCGTATTTGATCATTTCCCTTTTAACACACCCCGAGCGTAAGACATTTTTTTTTGTTTTGGTCTCGTTATCATTAGAAAAGGGCAGGATTTATTGTCCTGAATGGTTCGGTTACTATATTTAACCAACTCCCAGTTCCCAGAGCTGAGGTTGAATAGTGCAAATTCCAGGCTGGCCATGGGCTATGTTTGGCTGCAGCAGATGAATGTACTTATGTTAATGTTTTAATCTGCTTGCAAGCAAGCACAGCTCAAGCATTCATAAAAAATTGCCCAAGTCCCAAAGATTTCTGTATTTCGCTGCAAGTGTAAAAGTCGCAGCTTGCTCACCGTACCCAGCGGCACGTGGCAGCTACAGCGACTAAACACAACACCTTCACCGTCTCTCAAAGCCCCCCCCCCCCACAGCTGCGCTCACTCACAGGGCAGCGTGTGGCCCAGCAGTGTGAGCACTCCTGGGCGCTGCACAAGCCCAGTCCCACCGCATAGTTGTAAGTTGTGTTTTAATCACGAAAGTGTTACTCAAGCATACAGTGACATGTTGTCACTGCCTCCTTACGGTTTATATTATTCCTTTATGTGTCTCTAATAAATACCATTTGGTTTATAGTGTCACACCGCAGATGATGTATATGTTTTGTCTTGAAACCCGTTACATGATATGTTCTCTCCTCCGCAACAAAAGACACCGCCTCTGAATCACTAAGCATGGGTAGGAGGAGTGGGGTATTGACAGAAAACTCAAACCAGACTCCCCCAAACGGAGCCCGATTCTCATGAACAGTAGAACATCATTTCATTCAGCCACCCAACCTTGTCACCAACGGTCCTGGTGTACACCAAACTAAATACACCAAACACGGGACACCCCATCATCTGAACACATGACAGCGCGCCTGGTGCCTCCAGGGAGCGAATGAACCTTTCTTCTCCGACACTGGTGGCCAGCGTTTAATTCCGAGCGTCTCATATTTTGTTCCCTTTTTTTTTTTTAAACAACCACAAATATTCCATATAGAGCACCAGCGCAACTAGAGTACATTTTTAACTTGCATTATTTAGTCTACGGGGCTGCTTTCCTTGCCTTTGCGTATGTTGGCCAGGCCGATGGAAGGAGCGGGAGGTGGAGGTGGGAGCAAAGGCTGCCTCTGGGTGCCCCATGCTCATGGAGATCAGGGCCCTTACCTGTGGGGCTGTGCGGCCGGGGCCAGAGCGTGTAAGTGTCGCGTCCTCCTCGCCCCGCAGCATGCTGATGAAGTCCTTCTTGGTGACCGAGGAGAGCACCTTGGCTCTCTTGCGCTCAAGACCGCCAGCTTCTTTCACCTTTTTCTCCATTCCCTTTTGATGTTTTCGCACAGCATTGAAGAGTGTCACCACGCCCCTGATGCAGCACGGGACAAACAAGTGCGTCATCGTTATCACGTCGCCGCTGTTATTATTATTATTATCCGCGCTGGAAAAAAAGATTGAAAGATTCCCAGCTTTTCACAGTGACACATCTCAAGCATTTTGTTCAGAGTGATGATGATGATGATGCATCCAAGAGCTCAGCTACGGATACTGTGGTCGGCGCAACATTTCAGACATCAATCGCATTCATTTCACTTCGGGGAAGGTCCCGCGTCCGAATGCTGATGGCGTTCTCAAAGAAAAGCAGGACACCTTCGAGATGCGGAGGGGTTGATGGGAACCAGAGCATTGCTAAGATAAATTGTGGAAAAATGTTTGCACGCCTAATATCAGTGCAGTTATACATTATTAATCTTTCTTGCATACTTTTAAAAAATGCTGTATTAATTCATGAACTAACGACAACAGTATATACCATTACAGAAATATCTGAAGCTGCATTGCAGTAATGATACCTCAAGCAAAGTACAGTATTCAATAAGAGTTTCATGAAAAGTCACTTTGGTTAAACGTTTAAAAAAAAACTGAGGAAACCTGTGCCTGTGGTGGGCAGCAGGCCCCAAAGCTGTGCCCACCCCCACGTGTGCTACATTTTCCACTAAAAGTATTTTATTTACTTGAAAAATACCAAAACCAGCTTCAAGAAATCCCGACATTTTTCCATTTTTTTCCATCTCATTGTTACGTAACAGATTGTAAAAATGTACTGTCCATAACATCTGAAACTGCAATGTGGCCCCATTTAACAACCAAAACTAACACACCTATTACACCCTGCTCTTTTATATTGATGGGATATACAACCAAATAGGCACTGCTTTCAAAAGATTAATGTTACGCCTCGAGGAGCCTGTCGGGACCACTTGGCCTTGTCGGGTGAGCACATGATGACTGCGTGCCTGGAAGACCGGGGCTCACCGTGGCTACTTGGTGGGGTGGCTAGCATGGCATTCCATGCAAAACAGGACCATATCGTGCGCTGGTCAGAGAGTTTCTGCATACATTTGGAAAACCTTTTCAGGTTTCTGACCCAATATTTCATGTGAACTTGAATGCCCAAGAAAAGTGAGCCATTAAACCATCGAAGGCTGTTATGTTTGTACAGCTGCTTCTACTCCAATCCAGCCGATCACCATATCATCGTTCCACCCACTGCACAGCATCACAGCCAATCGTGCACCAGTTTCCAAAGCAATAATGGCTAGCTAAGGGGGGGGGGGGGGGGGTGATTCGTTTCTCCTCGTCGTGAGGCACAGTGGAGGAGGTCACAAGGGTCAGAATAGTGTTTTGTAAGCAAAAGACCCCAAACAAATCCCTGCCACAAGAGTGGATGCCAAGTCACTGAAATGTATCTTATTAGCCATTATCTATAACATACAGTACATATCCCACATCAGCTTCACATACAAGTACTTGCAGGAATTCTGTTGCTCACATTTAACAAATGCTGTGTTTGTCTCCAACCTCCTTGAGTTGCACAACTGATTACTATATACTTTATGAATACAGTATTATATGCCACGCATGTATACAAAGGGCCCTAAGTCAATGAGTACAATCTGACCTCTATATAAGAACAGGTTAACCACAACCGAACTTCACACCACATATGTTATTAAATCACTCCTTAATTGCGAAAAGCATGCTTCAGAACAAAAACACATTTATGAACTTGAAATATGCTCATTTTAACATACAAAGCTTCCTTTGCACTTCCGAGGCAAATCCAAATTAACCTGGGGACGTACTTGTCATTTTGTTTCTGCATAACAAAATGACAGTAACGACTTCACCCACAGTTCAACAGCAGATAAACTTAGGCCTCTCAAAGAAAACGGCTTTGCGGGAGTAACAAAGCCTGCGGGAGTGACTTGATTGGCTGTGTTTGCCCGGAGTTATCTCCCGAGTAAGAGGCTGCCGATGCGTCTGCACACCTTGTGGCCACTCTCTGTAGATTCCGCTCTCGATCGCGATCCTTTGTGGGGTCAGGCTTCATTCGGCACATCTCCTCCCATTGCTGCTGCTTTTCAATCTGCAAAAGACGTAAAAAATGACCACTGCCGTTTAATTTTACGTTAATGAGTTTTCACCTGTTTAGAATTTTTTTTTTTGTATCGATGGAATGTCACCTGCGACATTTATAGAAAGCTAACGTCTTGGATTTGTCTGGGCAAAAACAAAGGGCAAATGTAACCAATTCATTCCAATGTCGGTTAAAAAGATAAAAAAAAAAACCCGTTACCTGTTTTTTCAGCTTTTCTCTCTGCTCATTTTCCTCTTCCGTTGCTTTTTCAATGGCTTTACTTTTCAAGAGAATAGCTGGTTTACTTTGAGGAATTTTCTTGTTCAGGATCTTGGCCATGGCATCAGCCCAGCCAGAGGGGCCATCATCTGTTGTTTCCAAATCGTTGCTCTCATCTTCGTTATCACTTGCGTCTGCATCTCCACCATCCTCGGCGTCGCTCCGAGCGTCCGAGGCTGCATCCTCTTGGTCCACATTATCCTGGTCCACCTTCTCCTCGATTTGCTCCTCCTGGTCCAGCTCCTCATTATCCTCTTCCTGGTGGTCAGGGCTGCACGGCTTGGGCTCTGCATTCACAAGACAAACGTAAACACTTGAATCGCGCGCTGCTGCTGCTGCTGCTGCAATCGTTGATGAATGGCGCCACCCATTGGACGAACAACCACACGGCAACGCGAAGAGCGCCCGTGGTGCGCCGTCCGCGTTGTCCGTGTCTAGGGGAGGAGGACGAGGCTCGATCGCCTCATCACGCCCCCGGTCCCCTTAACGGGAGTGAGAAGCAACAGAGACCCCCAACTCAGCTACGTGTCGAGCGCGGAACATCCCGATTAAGATGTTTCGCTTTCCCCAACGCTCACCTCGCGTCTTCTCACCTCTTCGATCACCCGACCCCTCTCCCTCTTTACCCCTCCCCCACCTCTTTTCAGCACATCGGCATTCATCCCCTCAATTTTTTTCTACCCACACCTCACATTCTCTCAATCCCACACATCTCGTCCCCTCTCCTTCCTCCATATTGTCTACTCTCCATCCCTCACCTCGTCTACTCTCACTCTACCCCATCTCCTCTCCCTCCCTCACCTCGTCTCCTCTCCCTCACCTCGTCTCCTCTCCCTCTCTCCCCCACCTCACCCTCTATCCCTCACCTCGTCTCCTCTCCCTCGCCTCGTCTCCTCTCCCTCATCTTACCCTCTCCCTCACCTCGTCTCCCCTCCCTCGCTTCGTTTCCTCTCCCTCACCTCGTCTTCTCCACCTCACCCTCTATCCCTCACCTCGTCTCCTCTCCCTCACCTCGTCTCCTCTCCCTCACCTCGTCTCCTCTCCCTCACCTCGTCTCCTCTTCCTCACCTCGTCTCCTCTCCCTCACCTCGTCTCTTCACCCTCACCTCGTCTCCTCTCCCTCACCTTACCCTCTCTCCCTCACCTCGTCTCCTCTCCCTCACCTCGTCTCCCCCACCTAACCCTCTCTCCCTCACCTCGTCTCCTCTCCCTCACCTCCTCTCCCTCACCTCGTCTCCTCTCCCTCACCTCGTCTCCTCTCCCTCACCTCGTCTCCTCACCCTCCCTCTCCCTCACCTCGTCTCCTCTCCCTCACCTCCTCTCCCTCACCTCGTCTCCCCCACCTAACCCTCTCTCCCTCACCTCGTCTCCTCTCCTTCACCTCGTCTCCTCTCCTTCACCTCGTCTCCTCTCCCTCACCTCGTCTCCTCACCCTCCCTCTCCCTCACCTCGTCTCCTCACCCTCCCTCTCCCTCACCTCGTCTCCTCACTCTCCCTCACCTCGTCTCCTCACTCTCCCTCACCTCGTCTCCTCTCCCTCACCTCGTCTCCTCTCCCTCACCTCGTCTCCTCTCCCTCACCTCGTCTCCTCTCCCTCACCTCGTCTCCTCTCCCTCACCTCGTCTCCTCTCCCTCATCTAACCCTCTCTCCCTCACCTCGTCTCCTCTCCCTCACCTCGTCTCCCTCACCTCGTCTCCTCACCCTCACCTCACCTCGTCTCCTCTCCCTCACCTCGTCTCCTCACCCTCACCTCGTCTCCTCACCCTCACCTCGTCTCCTCTCCCTCACCTCGTCTCCTCACCCTCACCTCGTCTCCTCTTCCTCACCTCGTCTCCTCTCCCTCACCTCGTCTCCTCTCCCTCACCTCGTCTCCTCTCCCTCACCTCGTCTCCTCTCCCTCACCTCGTCTCCTCTCCCTCACCTCGTCTCCTCACCCTCACCTCGTCTCCTCTCCCTCACCTCGTCTCCTCTCCCTCACCTCGTCTCCTCTCCCTCACCTCGTCTCCTCACCCTCACCTCGTCTCCTCTCCCTCACCTTACCCTCTCTCCCTCACCTCGTCTCCTCTCCCTCACCTCGTCTCCTCACCTCGTCTCCTCACCCTCACCTCGTCTCCCCCACCTAACCCTCTCTCCCTCACCTCGTCTCCTCACCCTCACCTCGTCTCCTCTCCCTCACCTCGTCTCCTCTTCCTCACCTCGTCTCCTCTCCCTCACCTCGTCTCCTCACCCTCACCTCGTCTCCTCTCCCTCACCTCGTCTCCTCTCCCTCACCTCGTCTCCTCTCCCTCACCTCGTCTCCTCTCCCTCACCTCGTCTCCTCACCCTCTCCTCTCCCTCACCTCGTCTCCTCTCCCTCACCTCGTCTCCTCTCCCTCACCTCCTCTCCCTCACCTCGTCTCCCCCACCTAACCCTCTCTCCCTCACCTCGTCTCCTCTCCTTCACCTCGTCTCCTCTCTCACCTCGTCTCCTCTCCCTCACCTCGTCTCCTCACCCTCCCTCTCCCTCACCTCGTCTCCTCACCCTCCCTCTTCCTCACCTCGTCTCCTCACCCTCCCTCTCCCTCACCTCGTCTCCTCACCCTCACCTCGTCTCCTCTCCCTCACCTCGTCTCCTCTCCCTCACCTCGTCTCCTCTCCCTCCCTCTCCCTCACCTCGTCTCCTCTCCCTCACCTCGTCTCCTCTCCCTCACCTCGTCTCCTCTCCCTCACCTCGTCTCCTCTCCCTCACCTCGTCTCCTCTCCCTCACCTCGTCTCCTCTCCCTCACCTCGTCTCCTCTCCCTCACCTCGTCTCCTCTCCCTCACCTCGTCTCCTCTCCCTCCCTCTCCCTCACCTCGTCTCCTCTCCCTCACCTCGTCTCCTCTCCCTCACCTCGTCTCCTCTCCCTCACCTCGTCTCCTCTCCCTCACCTCGTCTCCTCTCCCTCCCTCTCCCTCACCTCGTCTCCTCTCCCTCACCTCGTCTCCTCTCCCTCACCTCGTCTCCTCTCCCTCACCTCGTCTCCTCTCCCTCACCTCGTCTCCTCTCCCTCACCTCGTCTCCTCTCCCTCACCTCGTCTCCTCTCCCTCACCTCGTCTCCTCTCCCTCATCTAACCCTCTCTCCCTCACCTCGTCTCCTCTCCCTCACCTCGTCTCCTCACCTCACCTCGTCTCCTCTCCCTCACCTCGTCTCCTCACCCTCACCTCGTCTCCTCTCCCTCACCTCGTCTCCTCACCCTCACCTCGTCTCCTCACCCTCACCTCGTCTCCTCTCCCTCACCTCGTCTCCTCACCCTCACCTCGTCTCCTCTTCCTCACCTCGTCTCCTCACCCTCACCTCGTCTCCTCACCTCGTCTCCTCTCCCTCACCTCGTCTCTTCTCCCTCACCTAACCCTCTCTCCCTCACCGTCTCCTCACCCTCCCTCTCCCTCACCTCGTCTCCTCACCCTCCCTCTCCCTCACCTCGTGGATCGTTCCCAACTCCGCTCCTCGTGCTCGTGGAGACGGCCATGTTTCCGGAAATGAGGGGTACGGTGCGCGGGGAGAGACGGGAAACGCATTGAGGGGGAAACGCGGTCCGGGTTTTTAGGTTCCGGGTCTTCATACTCAGTCGTTATTTGGGCTTTCCCCCTTATCCTTGTCCTAATCAACGTGCACGAACTACATTGCGATGAGAATGTGTTTTTTTTCCCCCTTCCCCATAAGTATTGGAAACCCGGTGTAAGGAGGCCAAACAGTAGACTGCCTGGTAGAATGTTGTTGTCATTCATTGCACATTGCTCCATTGCGTATTCTGTGTTGCGTGTTATTAATTGTGCATTGTGTTTTCATGTGTATGGTTTTATGGGAGGTGGTTGCAATAACACGGCGTTCTGGCCTCTACAGGGCAAAGATAAATCATTCGCTTGCTTTGCCTTAATTTGTATGTAAACCTATGGTGGTGGTGTGTGCGAAATGCCAAGGTTGGACTTTATTGGCAGTGCTTTGATGTAATTCGGTTTGTAAGCCAAGCTCTGAATTTGTGTTGTTGCTGCTGTGTCAGTGTTAAAGCACAGCATAGCAAACAATATTCGACATAATCACAAAGGGGCATTACACACAAGACCGCATAATGAATCATGGACAATTCAGCTTTGTAACAGCCAAATACGGTTTCATTAACCGTGTTGATCTCTTTTCGGCCCGCTGTTGCGAAGCTAATGGGTGTCATCCATGGTGCCTTGCGGAGTTGTATACTATATTTTGCTTTGTTGGTGTGGATTGTGGATAACACAAAGTATTCAATGAAATATTCTTTAGTTCCATCAGGCTGGCAAGCATTGATCCAGGAGATAAAACACCCTTTTCCGATAACATTTTTATTTTGAGCTCTTTTATCGAAGTTGTGGCCATGTGGGAATCCCTTTGTAGTGTCAACACCACCAGCACATTTGAGGATACTCATAAACAGAATCCTTACCTTTAAAGGCTGTAACAATCACACAAAACCAGACACCAGATACTTCCTCAGCCTCGTGACATCAAACAGACGCCAGACACACCGTGCCCTGTCATCAGACATGTGCCACTGATAACAAAAACACCGGAAAAACCAGTCCCAAAGATACAATTAATATTGAGCATACTGACACTAGGCTTGTTAACAAACAGACGTCTCATAAATAGCAGGCAGATAAATTCCACCAACTTACAACATCCTACTGACACCAGACATATATCCCGCCGACACCAAAGAGACACATCCCAAGGACTCCCAGCAAGTGGCGTGAGTGGCTGAGAAGTGAGCTCCATGGGCTCCATGGAGCCGAGATAGAGGCGCCCCCCTCTCAGTACTGGGGCCACCACGGTCGGCTGATGGATAGAATGAGGCCAACGACGGATCCCAGACTGATACAAGGAAAGCGAGTAATTTCAATAATTTGCATTTGCAAGCACAAAATTGCAATTGACGAGTGGCAGAGCTCTTTCCCAGGTGAATAAAGACACGATTTCCATCAGCGTGCTGCCCGCTCTGCTCCGTCCTGCCAATCGGTGTGGCCCTGATGTGTGGCTTGGCATTGTAACGTGGGCTAATTACTGTGACCCTCGCACCATTAACCACTACGTGAATCGGGATTTTTCTTTTTTTAATAGACTAACAAATGCATTTACTTTATTTCACATAGTGCAAATGTTAAATATACATATTATGAAGTTACATATACACCTTGAATACAATTTAATCACATTAAATATACAATTGCTCTCACGAAACCAGTGTTCGCACGTGCACACGATGAATGTGAAGTCAACGTGGCCACTGTTTAATAGAAGTTGCTGTACTGGAGTCGGGGTTGGCTGGCTGATGTAATGCACAGTTGTGAGCCCATGGAGCCCTCTTACACGTATGTATGTATGTTGAACTTATTTCGTACCGTACGCAGTCAACCGTGCTAATCGTAGAGGGAAGGACAACAAACTAAACGCATGAAGCAGCTACAGTATAAAGAAATTAGTTTGCTAATATAGGACGATTTAAAAGTGCATCGCTGCAGAGCTTTCCAGACGGCCGTGGACGCGCCTTCTGAAAGCGCGCGATGCACTGACGTTACTTCCTTCGGATGGACGTCCACTGTTAAAATGACAAAAAAAAGTGAAATGATTTTTTGGTCTCACGAGCTGAAATGCAGCGTGCAGACGTGCGGAAGGCGGATGGTGCACGCAAGGCAAGCGTGGCCGCGCGTGTGTGTGTGTGTGTGGGGGTGTTGGAGCACTCGGTGCTCCCAGCGCCGAGATGATGGATGGAGGAGCTCCCTCCTGACGTCGGTGCACGCATCCCAAAGCGGCTCCACCAGTGCCTCAAATTTACGCAGACAAATTGATGTCTGGGGAGAAAGTCAGTTATATTATATGCACATAACGTCGCTCAAATTCGCAGTGCTTGGCATATGGTTTTATGATGGCAGGGGGCAGGGGCAGGCATGATAGGTTGTAGATAATTTATGTTTTATTGTGGTGCTGTTAAAATAGTTTTAAAATCACAGGACATGTGAAATGCTGAGCAGCCATTTTCTAGGCACTGATGCGTGTCTCGTATAATATTGTCTTTGCCTTCTGTGATCTACTGCTCTCCCTGCTACCTGTTTTTTTTCCTCTTCTCTATATCAGGAAGTCACTTATATACAGTACTCATACACATGCAGTGTGCATAGTTTATCACCGTGTGCTGTGTCAATGCACGTAGAGTATGATGTTTTATTGTTACGGTTTCAGTGATCACACAGTTTGATTACAGAAAAAAAAATATAACAGCAGGATGGTTTCCTGCTTGAGGATAGACACGTGGGTTATCGCTTCATAAATGCAAAGCTTATACGCCATATACTCCTATGTACGTACAATGTTGAATCATCCCTATATTAGTGACTATATATTAGTGATTCTCAAAGGCTCAAATGTTGATGGGCATCAATATTTTAGGGTAAAGAAGTTAACATTTCCACGTTATTGGATTCAACAAAGCATATTATCATTGCACAATCTGTGGCTGCAGAGGGCATGGCACGTTTCGTGGCAGGGTATGGTATACTAATTAAAACTTGTAACGCGCACAGCATTCGGTCGCTCTCCAAGAGAGAGAGAGAACGTCTCAGAGGCGTAAGGATATCACAGACTAGCAGGAAAAGAAGCCACGTGGGCAGCCGGCGCCAATTCCCCCGTTCCCCCAAGCTCCGAGGTCCTCGATATATTAAGGTGTTATCAGACAATTATAATCAGTGACTTAAAGCTTTCGTGACTGCAGGAATTCATATTCTTTGGGTCTTTCGGTAAAGTCACATAGATAGGTTCAAATTAATAAAAATAAAATAAACAAAAATAAATTGAATTTTGATTTAAAGCTTTCGTGACTGCAGGGATTCATATTCTTGGTTCTTTCGGTAAAGTCACGTAGAAGGGAAACAAAACAATAATAAAAATATAAAACAATAAAAAATTCTCACGACGTTGCGACTGCAACACAAGCAATCACCATCAGGTGTGGAAACCACTTTTATTGTTTCCCTTCTACGTGACTTTACCGAAAGAACCAAGAATATAAAAATAAATTGATCGTAACCTATCTACGTGACTTTACCGAAAGACCCAAAGAATAATTAAAATCAGTGTTTACCTTGAGAAAACCCACGCGTGCTCGGGAGCAACATTCTGTCCCATAGAGACGGAGTCCACATTTTCTGTACCATCTCCTGGTGAGGCATGGTGGGGCACCTCGCCCACAGGAAGGCAGTTTAACAACATTGGTTTCATAGAAGCCTCACAAGTCCACAGTGCTGTATTACAGGCGTGCACCACCGCTGCCCAGCGACTTGGCAGTTCCAAGAACGCTAAACCAGGACTAGTTATTCACATACATTCTAAATTGTTCAAATGCAGGTTGATGGGATAAAATATAGCAGCTTCTATGTTGCAATATATACTCTTTTTTCATTAAAGCAACGCAAATCTTCTTTGAGCCATGTATATAAAAAAAAGTGTACACCATGAAAGTGCACAGTTATCAATGCTGAATATAACCTGCATTAATTTATGATTCCTGTACGGCACCTTAACTCACGCGATTTAAACCCCAGCAGGAGGCAGTGCGAAACAAAGTGAGCACCGAGGCGGGGCGCGCGGTGGTAGTACGAGGATGAGGCGCCAACGGAGCCACCCTGCGCTCAGTCTGTGCACCCATGTCACCTGGAGGTGCCTTGAGTCTTCTCAGCGCTCGACGCAGGAGGGCAGGGCATGAGTGTGGCCACAGCAGGGCACTGCCCCTTCAAATGGAGCCTCTGATTTCACACCCTATTAACTTGAGGCCTGCTAAGGTTAATGCCGTCCCCTGTAACGTGCCCAAAGAAAAATATTAATACATTCTTCCTGTGATTCTGCAGCACCTGGTATGTCCTTCCAAATTGAGCGCTAATGGAACCACTCTTCCATTTAGCCCCAGAGCCGAGTGTGGAAAATCTCAGCGGACGGCTCTTGTAGAGTACGCTGACCTCACTTATCATTTTAGGGGGGAGCTGGAGTGACTTGGTTAATTTTATCAGCCAGATTTGATCCTCCCACGTGTCCATTCTGCATTCTCCGCAGGCCCATTGCAGCCATCATTCCACTCGCGCAACTCCCTGGCAGTGAGGAGTTGCGTGAACGTCTCAGTATTGTTTGAACCTCTTATATTCACACTCAGAATTATTCTACATTTTTATTTCCAAATGATTCTGATGCTTTCTTAATCGTAACGTGTAAGCATGATAGATGAAATAATAAACGGAATTGAATATATCGTCAACACTGTTCCATTGGCTACGAGACAATTATAAAATATGAATTTTGTTGAACATATTTGAAAAGTAACTGAAATTAGTGAAAATGAATACGTTTGCATTGGAAATGACAGAAGGGGTGGCATGGGGATGAAGATGCATCGGTGTTAGGAGTAACTTGCACCACGGTAGCGAGATGTTAACTACCTCGCCTGGTATGAAGGAGGTCGTGGGTTCGATCCCGATCCTGACGCCTGTATATCTGGAGTTTGCATCTTCTTTCTCCCCGTTGT